CCCTCCTCTCTCTCTCCCTCCCTCTCTCTCTCCCTCCCTCTCTCTCTGTACAGTGCAATGAAGCAAATAATTTATTTCTGTTGCAGTCTTCCCTGGAGATCCCGCCAATAGCAACACTTCCTGTTAAAGGGTGACAACGCTAAGCCCCGTCACTTACTTACCTCACTCCTACATGAGGCTTTCTGTCTGCGGTGATGACATCTTAGGCATGTGCCTATGATGTCATCACCTATTTAAAGGATCTACATCCACATGACCTGTATACTCCTGTGTTGGGGTCTGCAGTCTATCCCGTATACTCCTGTGTTGGGGTCCTCAGTCTATCCCGTATACTCCTGTGTTGGGGGCCTGCAGTCTATCCCGTATACTCCTGTGTTGGGGGTCTGCAGTCTATCCCGTATACTCCTGTGTTGGGGTCCTCAGTCTATCCCGTATACTCCTGCGTTGGGGTCCGCAGTCTATCCTGTATACTCCTGTGTTGTGTCCTCAGTCTATCCCGTATACTCCTGTGTTGGGGTCCTCAGTCTATCCCATATACTCCTGTGTTGTGGTCTGTAGTCTATACCGTATACTCCTGCGTTGGGGTCCTCAGTCTATCCCGTATACTCCTGTGTTGGGGTCCTCAGTCTATCCCGTATACTCCTGTGTTGGGGTCCTCAGTCTATCCCGTATACTCCTGCGTTGGGGTCTGCAGTCTATGCCGTATACTCCTGCGTTGGGGTCTGCAGTCTATCCCTTATACTCCTGCGTTGGGGTCTGCAGTCTATTCTGAATACTTCTCTGCTGGTGAATGCCTGAATGTTGCCCCAAAACTCTGTGCAGATTTCTGGGAGAGGCAATTCCCCAATCACAGAACAGAGGTAAAATGTACAAAATCCTGCGTACCGTCTGATCACTGCTGCCAAAGAGAAATGTGAATTTTGGTGAAAAGGATGCAAATTAATTTGCAAAGGTCATCACATATAACAAAATATTAAAAGGACCTATGTAGCAAACAATAGGAGTTTTGACACTGGAATATAGATACAGCTGGGTTATACTGCCACCTACAGGAGGTTTGTATATAAAATAAATAAATGTAAGCCAGCCTCTGTATAACCCTTCCTGCCCCCAGAATGTCTCAGTTTTATGAAAAAGCAGTACCAGGGCAAGAGCAAAAAACATAGAGGGGGGCCTGTGCCCGTCAATGGATGCCAAGCCATAGATTTTATAGTAAATAATACACAAATAATTTCTTCCTCGTCCATGAAAGGTCACAAGAACCTGAGTTCTTGTGTCCCTTCATGGGCGAGAAAGAAATTATTTGTGTATTTACTAGGGATGCACCGATATCGGTGCCGATTCCGAGTATTTGGGCAAGTACTCGTACTCGCCCAAATGCTCCGATGCCTAGCACGTGTACTTCCTGTATCAGGAAGCCGGATAGCGCGTCATTACACGCTGCCCAGTTTCGCGATTGACCGGGAAGCGGCTCCATGTTCTCTCGTCACTTGTGATGAGAGAGCATGGAGCCGACTTCCCGGCCAATCAGGAAGCCGGGCAGCGTGTAATGACGCGCTGCCTGGCTTCCTGATTGGTCGGGAAGCTGGCCAATCAGGAAGCTGGCCTCGTGAGGTAAGGTTACCTTACCTTAGTATGTGCAGCCTGTCACCCCCGGGGCCTCTCCAGCGAGAATGCGGCCTTCGTCCGGTACCCAGCCTGAGCCGTCCAATCAGGAAGCCGGGCGCCGTCTAATGACGCGACGCCCTGCTTTCTGATTGGCCGGGAAGCTGGCTTCATGCTCCCTCGTCATCTCATGACAAGAGAGCATGGAGCCGGCCTCCCGGCCAATCAGAAAGCTGGGCTTCGCGTCATTACACGGCGCCCAGCTTCCTGATTGGCCGGCCAGACGGCTCCGGCTGGGTACCGGACGAAGGCGGCGTTCTCGCTGGAGAGGCCCCGGGGGATGACAAGCTGCACATACCAAGGTAAGAGGGGACTTTCTTGTTAATCGGGAAGCCGGGTGGCGAGTCATTACACGCCGCCTGGCTTCCTGAATGGGAATTCCGGTACTCGGTAATTGGTATCGGCGAGTACAGAAAAAAAATGTATCGGTACTCGATACCAAAATACCGGTATCGGTGCATCCCTAGTATTTACTATAAAATCTATGGTTTGGCATCCACTGAAGGTACATTGGACACCCAAAAGCAGTCCAACTGAAAGGTGGGGAACAGCCACTGACAGGCCAACCAGAAAGGAGTGGGGACAATCTGCAACTCGGGACCACCTGAAGACCAACATCCGAAACTGAGCCAGATGAGGACAAGCCCCCTGCAAGACAGAGAGAGCTGCCAATGACCATCGGGAGGTTACAGAGGATTAAAGGAGAACTATGGGGTCAGGGCTTTTCCTCATAGTTCTCCTTAGGGTAACGGGAGGACACAAACTAGCATCCTCCTGTCACCCTAAGCTCAGTATATAGGGAGCTACAGCTCGCGGTATACTGAGACGCCGCAACTGAAGCGGATCCCAACAATTGTGCCGGGATCCGCCCAGCTGCGTGACTGACAGCTGGCTCCTCCTATCTAGAGGCAGAGCCAGCTGTACCCGCCCCCTCCCCGTCCGTTCCTCCAGTCAGCGCTGGCGGATCCGGCAGGTGAGAGGGGAATCCAGCCCCTCCCCTGTCACGGCAGAGAGCTGTGACAGGATCGAGAGGTGAGCGAACGCCGGTATGTGTTCGCTCACCTCCCGATCTACTGAGCCGACCTGTGACAGTCTCATTGTCACAGGTCGGCTAGAACTATGAGAACTATGAAAAGCACCCCCCTCATAGTTCTCCTTTAACCTGATGCTCAAGACCAGGATAGAGGACATCACCATTCAGAGGGGAATGACACCAGCCAAAGGGACTGGAGACCAACACCAGAAATGTAACCAAATGAGGACAAGCCCCTGCAAGACAGAGTGTCACGATCTGGGATCAGGCTCGGAGTCCAGTAGCTGAAACAGCAGGCAAATTCGTAGTATAACAGGCCGGGTTTGGTACACAAGCAGGGGGTAGTAGTGGAGGAGCAGGCAGAGGCGTAGTCGGAGAATAAGCCGAGGTCAGGAGCCAAAGGTATCCGGTATGTAGGAGAAGACGGTGAGAGTAGTCGGTGAATCAGCAGCCAAAGGTCGGTACACGGGTAGCAGTATGAGCAGATTGTATCACAGAGGGAGCAGGAAGTAAGATCTTGGCAGGCGCACAATAATCTGGCAAACAGGAAGTGCAGAGGCGTGGCTAAAATAGGAAGTTCAAGGGAGGAGCAAGGAGTTCAGAGTTCAGCTGAAACTAGGTTTACCTGAGGATTACACATGAGAGCAGGCAAGGAGCTATCCAAGGTTCCAAAGTGGCTCAACAGGTAGAACCACTGCCAGACAAAACAGGGGGCCCTGGGTTCACATCTGGTTCCTGACAGAGGAAGCTGCCAACAACCAACGGGAGGTCACAGAGGGTCAACCTGATGCTCAAGTCCAGCATAAAGTAGATCGCCACCAGAAAAGAATGACTCTGCCCGAAAAGGATTGGAAACAGTCTGCAACTCAGGACCACCTAAAGACCAATGCCTGAAACAGATGAGGAGAAGCCCCCTGCAAGACAGAGAAAGCTGCCAACGTCCAACAGAGGATCAACTTGATACTCAAGACCAGGATAGAGGAATTCACCACCAGAGGGAAATGACTCCACTCAAAGGGACTGGGGAACGTCCACAACTCGGGACCACCTGAAGACCAATGCCTGAAACAAATGAGAAGAAGCCCTACTGCACGCCAGGAAAGGTTCCAACAACCAAGAAAAGGCAACAACGGATCAACCTGATGCTCAAGACCAGGAAAGAGGAGATCACCATTAGAGGGGAATGACTCCTGAGACACTGAGCATGAACCACAGGGGGCTGGCTTACAATTTTTCTGTTTGCCAGAGTCTGACCCTCCTGTAGGCAGCAGTATAACCCGACTGTATCGGAATACCTGTGTCTAGAAATGGACGAGAAAAAAAAAGTGGGTCAAATATTTTATTATAATGTAACTTCCTGGAAGCAATTATTGGAGAGATCAGTACATGTAAAGAGGATCAGACAGCCCCGCTCCCAGGAAGAGACCATTGTGAACATTAGAGGACACACTTACGGGGTCGATGTTGGGGAGGTAATTGAAGGACAGGTCTATCCAGCAGAGATGGGAGGGGTCGTTCAGCAGTTTCTCCATCACCTCCTCGAAGCCGCGGAGGTCCGTCAGAGTGTTATTGTTAAGCCTGAGTGCCTGGCTGTGAAGCTTCCCGTCACCGTCGCGTTTGATTGGCCTCGGGCCCTCACGGGAGTCTTCCTGTAGGACATCTGTAGGAGGCAATACAGAGTGTCAACTGTGCGCCATCTGCAACGGGCTCTAGTCTTTGGGGATAACCACTGAGGTGTAACCTGACAATGTCTCACAATTTTCATAAAAGATGACGGATCTTCCCCTCTTAATAACTCTGGAATTACCCCCCCCCCCCCCCCCCCCCCCCCCCCCCCCACCCCCGCTCCCCATCACAAGCTTTGTCTTGTACCAGAACCCAACCTGCAGCCCTGTTTATAGCACCTCCCACCCATACCGCCTCTAGTCCCACAGATCCCTCACCAAGATCTCCTCCTCTACTGGCAACTGTCCCCAAAGAGACCTTCACTGAGAGAAATGAGTAAGAAATAAGGCGGCCGCTGCTGGAAATGCTAATTGTCTGGCTATACATATGCTGGAACTTTTTACCTAAGCCATGAGTTTGCTGAACTGTGGAATCGTTCTATGAGTGGTGGTGGTGGTGGTAACTAAAGAGGAACGTCTTTAGTTACCTTCCATGGAATTAATGCATTTGAAGGCGAAGTCTATGGGAGGTCCCTGCATGCCATTGCTGTCGATACGTTTACTCATTTCTGAAACCTGGAGAGAAAGAAAGTCAGAGGATTAAAAACCTTGTCATGGCGTCCATTGAGGGAGACGAGAAGTCTTTCGGCTTTTGGGCTAGACTGGAGGACTGACAAACTAAAAGACTTCAGACCAGCCCAGGATAATCCCTCCTTCCCCCAACGTGCCTCAGTTTTGTAGCAGTACGGAGAACACAGAGGGGTGGGACATGTGTACAAGAATCCTGTTTTCTTTCTTGTTCTTTGAGGGACACATAAAATCACATACGTTGGGAAGTCCAAGTAAGGGGTGGGTACCACTGCACACAGTCACTAACAAGCCCAGAAACAAAACAGAACTTGCTGTCCACCCATTGTGAAAAAACGGACGGACGGCAAACTCACATGGGCAGGTCCCAGGCAGAAAAAACCCGTCCGTTACCGGCTGTTTGACATACAAACGATCGGCGGGTCTATAACCAGCCAATCGTTTGTATGTGCTGGCTGCGTGCCCTGCCCCTCCCCCTCTTCGAGTGCTGCCGCCCCCCTCCTGCACCGTCATCTTTCATCCCGGGTTCCACTACCCCATCTGCGGCCCGGGACCAGCTCAGTTGGGCGTCAGGAGGTAAGATGGGAGGGAGATCAGAATCTTCCTCCTTGCTGATCTCCCTCCGTACTGTGAATGCGGAAGTGATGTGTAATACATCCGCATTCACCTGTCAATCATCTGGCTGTTATAGCCAGAGAGAAGAAGCAGATCTGTGCTTCATCAGCTTCTTTGGGGGTCCCCATGTGACATTAGCGATCTTAGAGACCCCTAATGTCTCCATAAAGAGGACCTGTTAGTGTGCCTGTGCCATCACATAGGGGGATTGTTATTCTCTATGTGACAGCAATAAGATTGCGTAAAAAAAAAAAGTAAACAAAATACCCAAAATTTTAAACTCCCCCACCCTCACATTTACGCACATATAAACGTAATTACGCGTCAGATGCCCCAGCGTGCGAAAACGACAATAGCGCTACACACGTTACATATCGCCGCGAACGTCGGAGTGAGGGCAATCATTTTAGGCCCATCAATCACTGATAACACTAAACTGATGAGCGGTAACAGCTTTTAAAGCGTCGCCTATGGCCAATTTTGGGTATGGTAGTTTTCTGCGATTTCGCAGGTGCGTGCAAATTTAAGCCCTCGTTCACACCTGAACGTTTTGTAGCGCGTTCTACGCTCGACGAACGCTCTACAAAACGCTCAAACATGAAAATTCCATTGTATTCAATGGGTCTGGTTCACACCTTGCCGTATTTCAGCCCGTCCCTAACGCGCTACCAAACGGCCCACGCCTGAAAAGGTACAGGTACTACTTTGGGAAACCCTTTACTTGCAAAGGACTGCAGGCCCGCACCGACTCCTACCCGCGTCCCCTCTGAACCTGTTTGTGCCGGCGTGCAGTCACAAGCTTTGTCTTGTACCAGAACCCAACCTGCAGCCCTGTTTATAGCACCTCCCACCCATACCGCCTCTAGTCCCACAGATCCCTCACCAAGATCTCCTCCTCTACTGGCAACTGTCCCCAAAGAGACCTTCACTGAGAGAAATGAGTAAGAAATAAGGCGGCCGCTGCTGGAAATGCTAATTGTCTGGCTATACATATGCTGGAACTTTTTACCTAAGCCATGAGTTTGCTGAACTGTGGAATCGTTCTATGAGTGGTGGTGGTGGTGGTAACTAAAGAGGAACGTCTTTAGTTACCTTCCATGGAATTAATGCATTTGAAGGCGAAGTCTATGGGAGGTCCCTGCATGCCATTGCTGTCGATACGTTTACTCATTTCTGAAACCTGGAGAGAAAGAAAGTCAGAGGATTAAAAACCTTGTCATGGCGTCCATTGAGGGAGACGAGAAGTCTTTCGGCTTTTGGGCTAGACTGGAGGACTGACAAACTAAAAGACTTCAGACCAGCCCAGGATAATCCCTCCTTCCCCCAACGTGCCTCAGTTTTGTAGCAGTACGGAGAACACAGAGGGGTGGGACATGTGTACAAGAATCCTGTTTTCTTTCTTGTTCTTTGAGGGACACATAAAATCACATACGTTGGGAAGTCCAAGTAAGGGGTGGGTACCACTGCACACAGTCACTAACAAGCCCAGAAACAAAACAGAACTTGCTGTCCACCCATTGTGAAAAAACGGACGGACGGCAAACTCACATGGGCAGGTCCCAGGCAGAAAAAACCCGTCCGTTACCGGCTGTTTGACATACAAACGATCGGCGGGTCTATAACCAGCCAATCGTTTGTATGTGCTGGCTGCGTGCCCTGCCCCTCCCCCTCTTCGAGTGCTGCCGCCCCCCTCCTGCACCGTCATCTTTCATCCCGGGTTCCACTACCCCATCTGCGGCCCGGGACCAGCTCAGTTGGGCGTCAGGAGGTAAGATGGGAGGGAGATCAGAATCTTCCTCCTTGCTGATCTCCCTCCGTACTGTGAATGCGGAAGTGATGTGTAATACATCCGCATTCACCTGTCAATCATCTGGCTGTTATAGCCAGAGAGAAGAAGCAGATCTGTGCTTCATCAGCTTCTTTGGGGGTCCCCATGTGACATTAGCGATCTTAGAGACCCCTAATGTCTCCATAAAGAGGACCTGTTAGTGTGCCTGTGCCATCACATAGGGGGATTGTTATTCTCTATGTGACAGCAATAAGATTGCGTAAAAAAAAAAAGTAAACAAAATACCCAAAATTTTAAACTCCCCCACCCTCACATTTACGCACATATAAACGTAATTACGCGTCAGATGCCCCAGCGTGCGAAAACGACAATAGCGCTACACACGTTACATATCGCCGCGAACGTCGGAGTGAGGGCAATCATTTTAGGCCCATCAATCACTGATAACACTAAACTGATGAGCGGTAACAGCTTTTAAAGCGTCGCCTATGGCCAATTTTGGGTATGGTAGTTTTCTGCGATTTCGCAGGTGCGTGCAAATTTAAGCCCTCGTTCACACCTGAACGTTTTGTAGCGCGTTCTACGCTCGACGAACGCTCTACAAAACGCTCAAACATGAAAATTCCATTGTATTCAATGGGTCTGGTTCACACCTTGCCGTATTTCAGCCCGTCCCTAACGCGCTACCAAACGGCCCACGCCTGAAAAGGTACAGGTACTACTTTGGGCCGTTTTTGTTGCGCGTTTCCATTGGGATACAGCCAAGTAGCCCTCGGAAACGGATCGCGGTAAAAAAACGCGCGACAGACGCGCATATGCAATACGCCTATGTGTGAACCAGGGCTTAAGCTTGACATGTTTGGTGTCTATTTACCCGACGTGACCCCGACTTTTATATTTTACCAAAAAACTGGGTAATAATAAATGTTTCCTAACATAATGTAAAAAAAAAAATTTTTTTTTTCAAAGTTTCCTGTCATTTTTCCTAATTATAGTAAAAAATAAAAACCCGTAGTGGTGTTTAAATACCACCAAAAGAAAGCTCTATCTGTCCCCCAAAAAATGGTATAAAATTCATGTCAGTACAGCGCTGCATGACGGAATAAATGTCAGTCAAAGTACCGCAGCGCTGAATACTGAAAAATGGCCGGGACAGGAAGGGGGTGTAACACCGCGGACTTCAAGTGGTTAAGCTAATTTTGGGTATTGTAGTTTTTTTAGGTTTCGCACGCGCGCGCAATTTTAAGGCACTTGACATGTTTGTCAAACCCTCATGGCGAAAAGATAACGCTACACCCACCTGCTCCACATGTTCAATATCCAAGAGATCAACCTCAGATTTGGACCGGGCACAGCCAGGACCTGACAGAGAGAACAGAGCTCTACAAAGGGCTTCCAACTGCTCATCTATTGGGTTCTTCCTCCTCCGGTATAGAAAGCACTGTGCCAAGGTGAGACAAGGCCAGATCCACGGTGTGCACCTTCTCATAAAACAGGTCCAATGCTAGTGAGTGCTTGGAGGGCAGCAAAGAACTTCTCAGGGACCTTCCAATCTCCATAGACACAAAGTAGGAATAGAGGTTGCAAACAGAAGATCTTCCGAGGCTGGAGATGACAACGGTAGCAGAAGACACGGGCTGATCCTCTGGATTCAGAGTGGTGAACCCTGCACCAAAAAAAGTCACCTTCAATTCTGGAGAGATAGACGTAGACTACAGCTCCTCAGGGGTCAGCTCTTCAGGGGTCGGCTCCTCAGGGGTCAGCTCTTCAGAATCCGAGTCCAGTCCAATCCGAGTCCAATGTGCCTCTGGGAGTCATGCCTGTGGCTGTCAGAGTCTTGCAATGCCTCATGGGACTTGTAGTTCCACAACAGCTGGAGTGCTGAGGTTGCCCACCACTGGGTTAGACTTTACAGTGGCAGAGGCGAAGAGGACACTGGAAAAAAAAATGGAGGCATGCTGGGAGTAGGAGGGGTGATCTTGAGAGTGGGAGGGGTAATCCTGGGAGTCGATGGATTTATCCTGGGAGTATGAGGAGTAATCCAGAGAGTGGAAGGGTTTATCCTGGGAGTGGGAGGGGTATTCCTTGGAGTTGGAGGGGTGATCCAGGGAGTGGGAGGGTTTATCCTTGGAGTGGGAGGGTTTATCCTTGGAGTGGGAGGGTTTATCCTGGGAGTGGGAGGGTTTATTCCTGGAGTTGGAGTGGGAGGGTTTATCCTTGGAATGGGAGGGGTAATCCTGGGAGTGGGAGGGTTTATCCTTGGAGTTGGAGGGGTGATCCAGGGAGTGGGGGGTTACCCTGGGAGTAGGAGGGTCTATCCTGGGAGTAGGAGGAGTAATCCAGGGAGTAGGAGGGTTTATCCTTGGTGTTGGAGAGGTGATCCAGGGAGTGGGAGGGTTTATCCTTGGAATGGGAGGGGTAATCCTGGGAGTGGGAGGGTTTATCCTTGGAGTTGGAGGGGTGATCCAGGGAGTGGGAGGGTTTATCCTTGGAGTTGGAGGGGTGATCCAGGGAGTGGGAGGGTTTATCCTTGGAATGGGAGGGGTAATCCTGGGCCAATGATATCTTGATATGTCCCCTAT